TGTAGTTTTGTCTATAGGCTTGCCTATAGACTTGTCTATAGTCTTGTCTATAGTCTTGCCTATAGTCTTGTCTATAGTCTTGCTTTTACTAAAAATTCGATTCTGTATTCAAAATTCAATTTTTCATTAAAAATCGATTTTCACAAAAAATAAGATTTTTCACAAAAAATAAGATTTTTCACTAAAAATTCGATTTTTCACTAAAAATTTGATTTTTCACTAAAAATTCGATTTTTCACTAAAAATATGATTTTTTTATTAAAAATTATATTTTTCTCCAAAAATTCGATTTTTCACAAAAATTTTTATGTTTTGCTTGCAATAAAAAAGGACCCTAAAATGGGAAAATTGTGAACATTTTCCAATTTAATGATTATTTTTACTCCACATAAACGACCGATAAATAAATTGGAATACATTTCGAAATATCTTTAGAATTATTCATTTCCCAATATCAAACTCTTTTTAATAGATAAAAGACACAATAACAACAAACAATAGCATATTTAAACCATTAATCAAAATCAAACATTTTGAAATTGAAAATTTCAAAACAATATCAAGCACAAGAAATATTTCTAAGATAAGCGCCACTTATGAGTGGCTTTTTTTCAACTAAAATAAGATTTACTCAAATATATAGTTTGCTCAGTTCCCTCTTCTCCAAGTCTACTCTTCTTTATATTAACAAGATTGCCATCTTTTAATAATAACCATAAAACTCAAACCTTCTGGTTAAAAACCACAAAATCTCTTTACAAGTTAGAAAAATGTTTTAAAACTTTAAAATTTTGATTATTTTTCAAACTTCTTTAAAAACATCTGCCCTAAAAATTAAGAAAATTTTGAAAACATCTTTTAAAATAAATTATTGATTATTGTTAAGAAATAACTAAAGAAAAAAATCATTACTTTTAAATCCGTGTCGTAAAGTAATAAAATAAACTGTCTATGATCAAAGGCATAATAGCACACATGCCATAAATAGCGACGCGTGGTAAAAAAATGCTTTCAAAATGCACGATCTTCAGAACCAGGTAACAAACTTTTATTGCTTAGAAAAATCCTTGTGCTCTGACTACCAGAAGAGGTTTAAAACCACCCCCTTGGCTATAAAACATACTTAAAGAAGTTTTAAAATTTTTGCATTTGTAGGGTTTTTCCTTTGCTGGCCAAACAACCCCCAATTTATTAGACACGGGCCAATAGTTGATATCAAGCAGCTGATGCCATGATTTGCAACAAAACTTTAAGATTTCGTTTAAGGAATAAAAGCCGGCTGTGGCAAGATATTGTATCTTAAACCACCCTATGGATAGGTTAGGTCTTTAAGCATGATAAATCTTTTAATTGTTATGCCCCCAGTATTTTTTCTTTAATGAATTTCTGTTATTTTTTTGCTTAATTGTCAAAAGATTTTTGTTAATTTTTTTAAAAGAAAACCAGCAGCTGTGATTTAAGATATGTGAGCAATCAAGTGTTAAGTTTTTTTAAATTTAAAATGTAAAATGTTTTCTTTTATGTCTAGAGTCTAGACTTTTTAATTATTTATTAATATTTTACTGTTTACTTTCAGTTTTTAGTTGTTTATATTATTTTTACCGTTTAGTAGTCTAATCTCGGCTTAGCCGTTTAAATGTTGTAGTTTAGTGTTTAATCTATCGTTTTTAAACCAAAGGTTTACCATTATTTCACAGTTTATTTGCCATAGTTTTTAAAATATAACTGTTGCTTAGACTTAGTGCAGTAACTTGGCTTAAGCTTAGTTTTGTTGTCTAAATCTGTTGGTTAACAGTTTTGCAGTTAATCTATTTTGTGTAAAAATTGTGTTGGGTTTTTTCTTGTAGAGTTTTTTTTTCGCAATTTTCGGAATTTTATAATCCCTTAACGACACGTTACGATTTTGATGCCATCCTTAGCGCCATTAGCACTGTCTTTGATCAACAGATCAGTTCAATGAGTTCTTTTTTAAAAAATCTAAGAAAGCTGTTAACATGATGCCAATTTAAAGATTTAAATGTCTAGGATCAGCTAATGATCTCAACGATCAAAGTATCTTGAAATCTTGTGGGTTCTAATGTTAGTTGCTTTCAATGCATTAAACATAAGTTTGTCATAGAATCCAATCATTGTAATCAATTTTATGATCGATCTAGAATTTAACTTTTTATAGATTAAATAAAACGATCACATTAGATACCAATGTACGTTTCAAAACCAATTTAATCTACGACAAGACCTACTATGACAAGGTTAGGAGGAACACTTAACACTTTAGCCCAATTGAGATTATTTGTGCAGCTTTTTGCAGCTTAAGTTCATGTGTGAAACTCAAAGATCAGTGAACAAGAAACATTTTCTATCATTTTAAATCAATAGCGTTGCAGTTCAAAACTTTTATGAATAATATGAACACAGACCTAGTCTAATAATACTGATCACCAAACGATCATTGGGAAGAAATGACTAAGATTTAATTAAAAAACTAGTCTACTTTGATTTTTCGATAAAATTATCTTACATTAGTTAAAAGATCAGTGATCGAGAATAAAAATTTTCTTTCATTTAAAAGCAAAAGATTATGATGGCCTCTCATAGCTTTTATAAATAATATCCTTATACATATTTATGTACTAAGATCAATATAATAAAACTGATCATTGCAAGATCATTGAGAACATATACCTATGACTTGATCAAATCATCAGTCCATTTCGATTTTGGTATAAATTACTTACTTTCTGGCTTGAGTGTAAAGAAAAGTGACCAAAAACCACAATAAAACTGATCATATACGACCAAACAAGAGCCTTGTAGTTCAAAACTTTAATGACAAAACATAATAAAACTGATCATTGAGAAAATATTCATGATTTGGTCAAAAACCCAGACCATTTCGATTTTGGTATAAATTTAATTCTTTCTAAAGAAAAGTGATCGAGAAACACAATAAAAGATAATCAAACAAGCTCCTTGCAACTTAAAACTTTCATGAAAAACATTAACAGTTCAAGCTTGCAAAAAGTGCATTATAATAAAACTGATCATTCCACGATCATTGAGAAGAAATGTCTGATTAAATATTCATTTCATTTCAATTTTTTGATAAATTAAATATTTTCACTGATCGAAAGATATAATAAAACTAATCATTCCACGATCATTGAGAACAAATGTCTCAAAATTTGATCAAATAATCAGTCCAGATCCAAAGATCAGTGATCGTTAATGTTTGCAAAAAAGACAAGCAAAATAAAACTGATCATTTCACGATCATTGAGAAGAAATACCTTTGATCAAATAACCAGTTCATTTCAAATTTTAAAAAAAATAAATTTTGTCTGGCTAAAATTTAGTGGTTGAAAAAGATCCAAAGATCAGTGATCGTGTAACATTTTAAAACAGATCATTTAAAGTAGAAAATATGAATTAAGTTGAATATTTTTAGATTTTGATCTCATCAGTTTTCTTCTAAATTTAAAGACTTTAAAACAGAGAGTAACAAAAAAACAGATCAATTATCGTTAGACATAATAAAACTGTGATCTTGAATCGTTTGCAAAAAGACAAACATAATAAAACTGATCATTCCACGATCATTGAGAAGAAATACCTTTGATCAAATAACTAGTTCATTTCAAATTTTAGATAAATTAAATACTTTCTGACTACAGTTTAGTGATCGATAAAGATCCAAAGATCAGTGATCGTGTAACACAATGAAACAGATCATATATTTATCGTCATAGCATGATCATTTAATGAATAAATTATGAATAAAGTTAAATATTTTTAGATTACGTTCTCATCCGATTTTTCTAAATTTAAATACTTCAAAACCGAAAACAACAACAAACACAGATCAATGATTGCGACACATAATAAAACTGATCATTATTTTGATTTTGGGGAGAATATGAATGAAGTTGGAAGTTGTTAGATTTTGTTTTCAAAACTACAAAAAAACGAATGACGTTTAAGAATTTTCAAAAGTTGGTTTTTAAAATCCAGAAATAGGATCGATCTTTGAAAATAATATCTTCTCTATTGTTCCCCAAAACGATATCCCCATTTCAACTCAAACTGTATATAAAACCCCCACAAAGAAATGGCAACTCTTGCATATGAAAAATACACTCATTATACTCTCCCTTTCAACAAAAATGAGTACATGGCATTTTTCTACTCTTTTTCCAAAGAGTTTCTGAAACAAACTCAAATGAGTAGTTTTACTATGAAGACCAAACCACTCATTATTTAAATATAACGTTTAGCATGATCCATATTTCAGCAAAACATTTTACAATTCCCATGATTATATGGAAACTAATATATGACAAACATTTGAGTTAAATAATAAAATAATTTAATTTTTTCACACACAAAAAACTATAGGGGTCAGTTTAACTTAGAAATGGACCCCTAAATTATGATATAGGAACTAAAATTATAATATTAGATAACATAACACAGAACCTTAGCAAACACTCGAGGAGTTGGTAGCACTACTAGAGCTAATGCTTAAAATTTTTTCAAGTATTTCAAATACTTCAGAAAATTACTCTCTGAGTTAAAGAAAAACTCCCCTAAGTTATATTTAAGAGTACTCAATTTTGGATATTACTTAAGAGTGTTTAAATTTTACCTGATAACTTGAGTATTTGGCTCAAAAGGGAATTTATGACAAGATCTGTTCATCGACCAAGCACAGGTAATAAAAACAACAATATTTAGCGTGAGAAATTATTTTCTTTGAACAAGAAAATAAAGGACACTTTGAGTGTGTTTTGGTGGTGTGCTGCTGTAGCGACGCTTCGTTTAGTAGCGACTTAATGTAAGTCGTAGCAAACTAAGGATCAGTATCCTTTAGACGTTCATCCTGAACATAACAAACGCGTAATCTTCGGATTTTTTTGTTAAAGAAAAAATTCTTAAATTCGAAGATTTTTTCTAAAAAATTATTAAGTTTTTGTTTTTTATTTATTTTAATAAAAACAAAGTGCAATTTTATTTAAAGAACTTTTTATAAAAAAAACTAAAACCAAAGTTGTTTTATTTTTTATAACAAAAAAAGTGTTAAGTTTATTATTTTGTAAAAAAATCTACAAAAAAAAAAACCTTATGGATTTATGCTGCTATTGATTTTTTTGAAACATCAATTAATTTGGATTATTTCGGGCTTCAATTGCAAAATTTTGGATTACATTTTTATTCACCTATTTGTTATACATCTCTAACCAACTTTAAATATGGATTACAAAAACGAATTTCAATCTGATGATGATTTCGATTGCTCAAACAGTTATAATGATAATTTCCAACAACAAACGGCCCAAAATGCCGCCCAAACTCAATTTAATACCTCCCAAGGACGTTTAAATAATACCGCGGGATTATCGAAAGCGGAATTGAGAAAGGTAAGAGGAGAGAAACTAAATTTGAAAAAGATATATATCTTTTTTTTTGGGATTCAGAGCAATTAAAAGGAAATTGTTAAAAATTTGGAAAATTTGTCTTCAGTTTTTTAACTTTTCATTCATTTTTCAAAATTTATAAAAAATTATTTCCTTTCCTCTTATTTATTTTTGTTTAAATTTTAATTTTTTAATAATTTGTTTTTTTTTTTATTTACTTTTTTAGACCAATAAACCCATTATGGAAAAACGTCGTCGGGCTCGCATTAATCATTGTTTAAATGAATTAAAATCTTTGATCTTGGAAGCCATGAAAAAAGACGTAAGTATTGAAAAAAACCACAAATTCCCATAAAACCCAAAAGTTTGTTAAGTTCCAAAAATCGTCTAACAAAATTTTGTTCAAAAGTCCTAAAAGCGGCTTAAATCAAAGTTATAAATAGTGATCATACCAACAAGATCATACATTTCTATACAAAAAACCAGTTTTATCCTGCTGAGAGCCAGTTACCAAAACTCCAACGCCTCCCTTATATCCACCATAAAATAATCGTTAATTTAGAGAAAAAAAAAAAAAACAAACTATAGTAGATCACTGATCAATAATAAACCTTAATAATGAGAAGAAAAAAAAAACCTGCGTGGGAATATATTTTTCATTAAAAATCAAGAGTGTTGAAGCTCAAAAAAAAAAAAACAGCAAAAACTTTCATACAAGATCATGCTGATCTTGCTAAACAAACCGAGTATTATGAGTAACACGAAAAAAAGAGACCACGATCGTTTATCCCATTTGGTATGATCATGGTAAAATGAATGAAATTTTTTCTTGCTGTTTCTTTGTTGTTTATACCCACCTTCCAAGCTTAAGATTTTGTTCTCATCAGTTTTTTTTCTTAAATCCTTCAAAATCCCCAAAATGAGCAAAAAAGAAAATAAAAAACACTGATCGTGTTTGCTTTATAAACTTGTCTGTGTGGTGTTTACAATCTGTATTATGATCTGTCTGTGCTTTATAGTTAGTTAACTGATGTCTGGCCCTTTTTCTTGTTATTTCTTTTTACTGCTGATTTTCGTTAAGAAAACAAATTGCTATCAATTAGATATTTCAACTCAGCCCAGCAACATCATGATCTTGCAGCAGTTTGATTATTAAGCTCGCTCGTATAAAAAAAATGTGCGAAATTTTCTTGAACAGCGTGAGCAAAACAAAAACGAAACTTAACAAGTTTAAGAACGAAACAAAAAAAATGAGAAACACAATTTGCAAAAAGTAGGCGGCTTTTTAACAAAGCAATCTTGGCTTGGAAGCCTGGGAAAATATTCAAGCCAAGTAGACAATTAACAGAATTAACAAACTTTTAAATAAAGTTGCCAGATTTTTGTAAAACATATTATTAATTTCCCTTTTTTCCTGTTATTTCTTTTTAGCCGGCTAGACATACTAAACTGGAAAAGGCTGATATTTTGGAAATGACTGTAAAACATTTACAGTCCGTGCAAAGACAACAGTTAAATATGGCTTTACAAACCGATCCCACGGTTATACACAAATTCAAAACCGGTTTTATGGAATGTGCCGATGAGGTTAATCGTTATGTCAGCCAATTGGATGGTGTTGAAGATGGTGTACGCCAAAGACTTAATAGCCATTTGAATAATTGCGCCACCAGTTTGGAACAGATTGGTTCAATGACCAATTTCTCTAATGGTTATCGCAGTGGTGCTTCTTCAAATTTCTTTGCTAATGCCAATACAATGCCTTTACCTAATACGGGTTCTTTGTTTCCTGCTTTACCTCAGGATTTGAATAATAATCCTGCTGCTGGCATACAAATGGGTGGTGTACAGTTGATACCCTCTAGATTGCCTTCGGGAGAGTTTGCTTTAATTGTGCCCAATACCGCCAATAATCCAACAGCTGCTGCTTCTTTAATCAACAGCAATTCCAATTCAGCTTTTCCTTCCTGGCCCGGCAATAACACTACGGCGGCCTCTAATAACTCTACACCCATTAATGACTTTGCTGCCAACTTTAAGCGTCTCAGTGCTTTCTCTAAACCTCAAAACTCGCTAATCACTCCTCTAAAAGCTCCTGTTGCCAACAACTATCCCCAAACCAACTTAACACACTCGAACTATCAACTTCAGACCACACAGCAGCAACAACAACAAGCTTTTCATACCACCACCACTACTAGTCCTCCTCTCAGTCCCATCTCTTCAGTATCTAGTCATAATGAAGATTCCATTATGCACACTAGTTCTGATTTTACCACTTCACGTTCGGTATCACCCAGACAAGATAAACACAACAGTTTCTCGGGTGTATTTGCCTCACCACCCTCCAGTGCCGAGAATTCGTTTGTCTTAAGTGCTGCTCATTTGCAACAACAACAGGTTTCGTCTACCTCTAGTAATAGTGATTTGAATACCAGTTCATCCTCCTCATTGAAAAGATCATTTTCGGAAACAGCTGATTCTAGTATTTGTTCAGAAGATGAACCCACCAGCAAGAAATATCAAAGAGAACAACAAGATGGCGAAGATCAGGATAGTATGTGGAGACCCTGGTAAATTCCCATTCTAAACACACTGTTCATCTTTATGTAAATTATTTTTGAATTTAAAATATCTTCTCTCTCTCTCGAAAAATTTGTTTTTATTCTATTTAAATAATAATTTATTTAATTTTTAAAAAAATTTTAAATGTTTCCTTTTTAATTTTAAAATTGTATATTATTATTTTTTAAAATCAACACAGAAATTTATTTTAATTAATGTTAAAAACTCTTTAAAATTATTAAGTTTTTTTATTAATTTCTTTATTAAATTTTTTGCCAGCAGTTGTTTAAATTTAATTAATTAATTGTTTTTTAAAAAATCTTCTTTCCTAAAATTTTGTAATTATTTGATTTCTTCTCTTTATATATATTTATCTGTGATTTGTACATAATTTTGAAAATATTTTTAATTTGTTTAGTTATGTTTTAAGTTTTAATTATTATTTTTCTTTATTATATAAAACTTTTTCTATTAAGTTTTTGTCCTATGTTTAAGTATTAAAAAATTTTGATTTCTTTTTTTCTTTAAAAAAAAAATTATAAATTTGTTTGTGCTCTTTTGGGGAAAGAAATGTTTAATGTTTTTCAAAAAATTGTTTATTTTTCTAAGAATAAGCGTAAAATTAATAGCAAAAAATTGCTGCAATTTTGTAATACATTGAAATAAATTAAAAAAATATTGCTAAAAAATTAATTTAAATTGTATTTTTTTTTTTTTTTTGATAATTAAGAGTCATTGGTTTGGTTGAGCAGTGATCACAAATCAAACATTTCTTTTAATTTCTTATTGAACTGATCGTTCAGTAATTTGAGATCATATTTAGGATCGATATTTAGTCAGAGGTCTCAGTAATTTATTATAAATAATTTAAAGAGATGATCTTGATCAGCGATCAGACTCATAAAGATACGATCACTAATTTTAGAAGTACACGTGATAATTGAACTGAACTAGAACTGAACTAGAACTGAACTAGAACTGAACTAGAACTGAACTAGAACTAGAACTAGAACTAGAACTGAACTGAACTAGAACTGAACTAGAACTGAACTAGAACTGAACTAGAACTAGAACTGAACTAGAACTGAACTAGAACTGAACTAGAACTAGAACTGAACTAGAACTGAACTAGAACTGAACTAGAACTGAACTAGAACTGAACTAGAACTGAACTAGAACTGAACTAGAACTGAACTAGAACTGAACTAGAACTGAACTAGAACTGAACTAGAACTGAACTAGAACTGAACTAGAACTGAACTAGAACTGAACTAGAACTGAACTAGAACTGAACTAGAACTGAACTAGAACTGAACTAGAACTGAACTAGAACTGAACTAGAACTGAACTAGAACTGAACTAGAACTGAACTAGAACTGAACTAGAACTGAACTAGAACTGAACTAGAACTGAACTAGAACTGAACTAGAACTGAACTAGAACTGAACTAGAACTGAAATAGAACTGAACTAGAACTGAACTAGAACTGAATTAGAACTGAACTAGAACTGAACTAAAACTGAACAAATACTGAACTAATTTTTGAAAGGAAATATTGATATTATCAGAAATATCAGTGATCACAAATCGATCTCTTCTTTTGATAACAAATACGACTGATTACGTTTAATTTTGTATTTAAAAAGTTATTTGTTTGTTTATAAAGTTATTATTTTTAAGTTTTCTTTAAAAAATGTCAGAATAAGACCAAAAATATTAATGATCATAAAACGATCTCTATTTCCAATTAAAGAAAATTTACACAGATGTCTCCCCTAAGTCTAGTAAAATCTATTCCCATTGAAAAATTCCTCTCTTAAAATCAAATATCACAATCGTTAATGTGAAATTACATCTCTAGTTTTTTTTTGGAGCAAAAACCGCAAACAAACGGAAATAAACATGACCTTAACTGATAGTGATAGTTTAAATTTGCGCGCTCTATAGAACACGCACAATAAAATGACTTGTAAATTGCAAAAATTAAGGAAATCACCTTGAAAATAAATTTTTATTAATGCTTGATTAAAAGGCAAAAAATGTTCAACAAACTAATAAAACAACAAAAGCTGATAATAAACATAAATAAATAAAAATGAAAAACAAAAATCTACTATAAAAACTCGAGACTTAAGAGAAATTTGCAATAGTTTACAAATTAAATTCAAGAAAAATTGATTGTTTTCAAAAATACAGAAAAAACGCAGTGTTAAAAATTAATCAACAAAGCAGGCGTTAAATTTTAGAAAGAAAACCTTTATCAAATCGGAAAACAATAAATTTTGTTCCTGCAAAATGTTTAAAAGTTTAATAATATTGACTATATGTGTTAGTTTAACTCTAATCAAGGCCAATGATTTACTTAATTATCGTGTCTCACCGAAATTTTTAAAACCTTTAAAAAATGCACCTAAAGATGATATCACCCTAAGTAAGCTGGATGAATCTATAGCACAAATATCCAATGTTTATACACAGGCACTATTTTCGGGCACCCACACACCCGAATTGGAAGAACGTATGCATAAATTCGAAATTGAATTATTTGATCAATTGGATGAGCTTTACAAGCAGGAAAGACTTAAGGATTATATGAAATATGAAGCCGAGGTTACGAATCGTTTGATATTATATAATATGTTGAAGAAATTATTCGGTACATTGGAGGTGGATAAGAAAAAGAATTGAATGTTTTGTTCCAAAGAACGACAAACTGTGATATTTGAAATTCCTAGTTCCTGTATTGAATTGAAAGAGAAATTTTGAATTTTAAATGGAGTTTTCTATTGATATTTGAATATTTATTAATGTGCCATATTTATAAGTATTTTTTATAACAAATAAAATGTTAATTAAACAAAATGTTGAAATTAAATTATTATTTTCAAGGATTTAGAACTGACCTCTAACTGAATCTTAACTGATCTAAGGCTGATTTAAAACTGAACTAAAACTGAACTAGAGCAGAACTGAACTAGAACTGAACTAGAACTGAACTAGAACTGAACTAGAACTGAACTAGAACTGAACTAGAACTGAACTAGAACTGAACTAGAACTGAACTGAACTAGAACTGAACTAGAACTGAACTAGAACTGAACTAGAACTGAACTAGAACTGAACTAGAACTGAACTAGAACTGAACTAGAACTGAACTAGAACTGTAACTAGAACTGAACTAGAACTGAACTAGAACTGAACTAGAACTGAACTAGAACTGAACTAGAACTGAACTAGAACTGAACTAGAACTGAACTAGAACTGAACTAGAACTGAACTAGAACTGAACTAGAACTGAACTAGAACTGAACTAGAACTGACTGACTAGAACTGAACTAGAACTGAACTAGAACTGAACTAGACGAACTATAACTAGAACTGAACTAGAACTGAACTAGAACTGAACTAGAACTGAACTAGAACTGAACTAGAACTGAACTAGAACTGAACTAGAACTGAACTAGAACTGAACTAGAACTGAACTAGAACTGAACTAGAACTGAACTAGAACTGAACTAGAACTGAACTAGAACTGAACTAGAACTGAACTAGAACTGAACTAGAACTGAACTAGAACTGAACTAGAACTGAACTAGAACTGAACTAGAACTGAACTAGAACTGAAACTAGAACTGAACTAGAACTGAACTAGAACTGAACTAGAACTGAACTAGAACTGAACTAGAACTGAACTAGAACTGAACTAGAACTGAACTAGAACTGAACTAGAACTGAACTAGAACTGAACTAGAACTGAACTAGAACTGAACTAGAACTGAACTAGAACTGAACTAGAACTGAACTAGAACTGAACTAGAACTGAACTAGAACTGAACTAGAACTGAACTAGAACTGAACTAGAACTGAACTAGAACTGAACTAGAACTGAACTAGAACTGAACTAGAACTGAACTAGAACTGAACTAGAACTGAACTAGAACTGAACTAGAACTGAACTAGAACTGAACTAGAACTGAACTAGAACTGAACTAGAACTGAACTAGAACTGAACTAGAACTGAACTAGAACTGAACTAGAACTGAACTAGAACTGAACTAGAACTGAACTAGAACTGAACTAGAACTGAACTAGAACTGAACTAGAACTGAACTAGAACTGAACTAGAACTGAACTAGAACTGAACTAGAACTGAACTAGAACTGAACTAGAACTGAACTAGACTAGAACTGAACTAGAACTGAACTAGAACTGAACTAGAACTAGAACTGAACTAGAACTGAACTAGAACTGAACTAGAACTGAACTAGAAACTGACTAGAACTGAACTAGAACTGAACTAGAACTGAACTAGAACTGGAACTAGAACTGAACTAGAACTGAACTAGAACTGACTAGAAACTGAACTAGAACTTGAACTAGAACTGAACTAGAACTGAACTAGAAAACTGAACTAGAACTGAACTAGAACTGAACTAGAACTGAACTAGAACTGAACTAGAACTGAACTAGAACTGAACTAGAACTGAACTAGAACTGAACTAGAACTGAACTATACGATTAAATGAACTAGAACTGTAATTCCAAATAATCGATGAATTTAAATGATCGTGTTTCTTTTCGCGATTTGTTTAAGTGTTCTTCATGGTAAACTGCTAAGTGATCGTGTTTCTTCAATCGATTCATCATACCTGACTCAAATCTGCTTAAATCAATACGTTTTCAAACCTTCTCTCTACTAATACAAAACATACAATTGATTCAAATATTTCACCACAATACCGATTCTATGATCTTCCATGATCATTTCATATAAATCTTATTGAAAAAAGCGAAATTGGTTTTCAAATCTATTGTAATCACCTTAAATCCGTTACAATCACGATTGTTAAACGTTTATCGTTATAATATCATTATTTAAACTAAATTTGTTGTCTAAGTATCCTGGGAAATTCTCACAACAACTATAGGGAAATAAATTTCCAACAAAAATATATACAAAATATTAAAACAAGCGATAAACCGTAGCAAATAACTACAAGAAAGAACAAAAACAAATCACTACAAGAAAATATAACAAAAACAACAAAAGGACAGAAAAATAAGATGCAGAACTGCATATAACCTATACAAGGACCTGTAAATATCACACAAAGCAAACACTCACATACACTTGTTAATCAAAGAAAAAACAAGATCGAAAGACCTGCAAGGAGAGTGAGAGAGGAGGTTAAGAGAAGAGTAGGTTAGATGCAAAGGTTAACAAACGTAAGAGCAAAACCCAAAACAGACAGACGGATGGACAAACAGACGGAAAAGCAGACAAACAGACAGTACAACAAACTAACCGACAGAACGTCATTGAGTCAGTTGCAATACAAACAAAAGGTACGAACGATCGACTACAATACAAATATTCAAGGATGTGTGGGAATTTTAAGAAACAAGTGAAACGGTATTCAAAATTTTTACTACAACAAATCGAATACGAATGAATATGCAAGCAAACGGACAGACATACCGACAGTCACACAGACATAATAAATATACGATAAAGTTGAACACGATGATGATGATGATCGTGTGATTTTTTTTTTATAAGAATCAGCCAAAAGGATAAAATACAATACTCATACATATTTTTAAATAATAACAACAAAAATTATAATTTTTATTTTCAGTTTTTTTTCAGATCTTTTGAGATTGTTTTTGTTGTTCTGTTCTGTTTGGTAGCGGGAGTTTCTCAGCTCATATTTCAAATGTGTGAGAAATAAATTTTTTTTTTTCGATTTTAAATTTGTGTGTAAAGATATTTTCGCATCATTTATATAAAGGCGTATGTGAGAACATCAAGTATTTTAGTTGTTGTTGTTGTTGGTACACTATAATTTTGTAGAAGAAAAGGATAAATCAGGTTTTGTGTGTTTGTTGTTGTTGTACAAAAAATTTACCCACGCAAAGCAAGCGTCTGACACACGACTTATTCTTTTCTTCCTTAAGGATATGGAATTATAATTAGTTCCGTTTAGCAGGTTATTTTATTCGTCGGGGAGCAAGAGATATTGCAGTTTTGATTAAGGTATTTATTTTGTTGTAAAGGAGAAATGATTTTTTTTTTTTGATTTTACAAAGAGGAAGGGAGGGTACATTTATAATTATGAGATGGTTTTAAAGGATATTTTAAAATATCATTTAAAATTGTTGTGAAAAGGTAAAGGATGATTATGTGGGAATCGATTTGAGGGCATAGGAATTGATTGAAGAAAATAAAAATTAATTTGTATTCAAATGTTGTATTTAAATTTAAATAGAACTTTTAAACTGCTGAAGAAATCAAAGTAGTGGATTCCATAATTAGATGAAATGGAACTGAACTAGATCAGGTCTAGAACTAGAACAGAACTAGAACAGAACTAAAACAAAAATAGAACAGAACTAGAACAGAACTAGAACTGAACTAGAACTAGAACAGAAATAGAACAGAACTAGAACAGAACTAGAACAGAACTAGAACAGAACTAGAACAGAACTAGAACAGAACTAGAACAGAACTAGAACCAGAACTAGAACAGAACTAGAACAGAACTAGAACAGAACCAGAACAGAACTAGAACAGAACTAGAACAGAACTAGAACAGAACTAGAACAGAACTAGAACAGAACTAGAACAGAACTAGAACAGAACTAGAACAGAACTAGAACAGAACTAGAACAGAACTAGAACAGAACTAGAACAGAACTAGAACAGAACTAGAACAGAACTAGAACAGAACTAGAACAGAACTAGAACAGAACTAGAACAGAACTAGAACAGAACTAGAACAGAACTAGAACAGAACTAGAACAGAACTAGAACAGAACTAGAACAGAACTAGAACAGAACTAGAACAGAACTAGAACAGAACTAGAACAGAACTAGAACAGAACTAGAACACTAGAACAGAACTAGAACAGAACTAGAACAACTAGAAAAAACAGAACTAGAACAGAACTAGAAACAGAAGAACTAGAACAGAACTAGAACAGAACTAGAACAGAACTAGAACAGAACTAGAACAGAACTAGAACAGAACTAGAACTAAACAGAACTAGAACAGAACTAGAACAGAACTAGAACAGAACTAGAACAACTAGAACAGAACTAGAACAGAACTAGACAACTAGAACAACTAGAACAGAACTAGAACAGAACTAGAACAGAACTAGAACAGAACTAGAACAGAACAGAAACTAGAACAGAACTAGAACAAAACTAGAACAGAACTAGAACAGAACTAGAACAGAACTAGAACAGAACTAGAACAGAACTAGAACAGAACTAGAACAGAACTAGAACAGAACTAAACAGAACTAGAACAGAACTAGAACAGAACTAGAACAGAACTAGAACAGAACTAGAACAGAACAGAACTAAACTGAACTAGAACAGAACTAGAACAGAACTAGAACAGAACTAGAACAGAACTAGAACAGAACTAGAACAGAACTAGAACAGAACTAGAACAGAACTAGAACAGAACTAGAACAGAACTAGAACAGAACTAGAACAGAACTAGAACAGAACTAGAACAGAACTAGAACAGAACAGAACTAGAACAGAACTAGAACAGAACTAGAACAGAACTAGAACAGAACTAGAACAGAACTAGAACAGAACTAGAACAGAACTAGAACAGAACTAGAACAGAACTAGAACAGAACTAGAACAGAACTAGAACAGAACTAGAACAGAACTAGAACAGAACTAGAACAGAACTAGAACAGAACTAGAACAGAACTAGAACAGAACTAGAACAGAACTAGAACAGAACTAGA